ACCCTGACGACGAGATAGTCGGTGGAGAGGTCTTTGAGAGCCTGGTGACTGATAGCAAGTAAGAGGGCTGAGGGCAGGGAGAGGCTTCAGCTTCTGGGTTGTGCTGAGGTGAGGGTCACACAAGCAGGCTGTCAGCCTGCGTCCCGTGCCCGCAGCTCTGCCAGCCGGAAAGAGTCCCAGCAGCACGGAGTACGCACTGCAGAGAAGCTCCTGCGGGAATTCTACCCTCACTCGGACTCCGGGCAGACCCAGCTGCGGCTGCTGCAGAGCCTCTGTCTGCTGGCCACCAGGGAGAAGGCAAACGTAGAGACGGCCCTGGGTGCCTTTATCGAGATGGCCCAGACCGAGGTGCGGAAAGCTAGGGATGGGTTCCAGCGGGCAGGGGTCAAGAAGGGGGTGACAGCCAGAGTGCCCCATGTGTGCTTCCACGGGTGTGCAGAAGGACAGCATCCCTGCCTTGCTGGCCATGGCACAGGCCTACATGCTCCTGAAGCAAGTCCCCAAGGCGCGTACGCAGCTGAAGCGCCTGGCCAAGATCCCGTGGACACTGAACGAGGCCGAAGACCTGGAAAAGAGCTGGCTCCTGCTAGCAGACATCTACTGCCAAGGCGGCAAGTTCGACCTGGCCTTGGATCTGCTTCGCCGCTGCCTCCAGTACAACAAGGCAAGGGTCATGGGGCTGGGAAGAACGAGGAGAGGCGCAAGCATGGTGGGAAGAGGGTGGAGTCAGAGAGGCTGGAACCAGGCGCCACACACAGGGAACAGAAGACCTGAGAGGAAGGAGAGAGAGAGATGACATGCTTGAGGGGTTAGCTTCTGACAGACAGATGTCGGTCGAGGGGTCGTGCCAGCTTTTGAGTAAGGAGTGGGTACACAGTGAACCCCTCCAAATGTTGAGGGTGCTCTGCGGGGGGGGGGTCCCTGTGTACTTTGGGTTAATGCTGCCCACAGCCATCCAGTTGCCCACTCCTGTCCCACGCTGAGGACCACAGTGGCTGCTTTGGGGGCAGATGTGCTAACCCGCTTTCCCCATAGTCTTGCTGCAAGGCCTATGAGTACATGGGCTTCATCATGGAGAAAGAGCAGTCCTACAAGGATGCGGCCACCAACTACGAGCTGGCCTGGAAGTACAGTCATCAGGCCAGCCCTGCCATTGGTAAGACGACACGCCAAGGTGCCCCAACCCTAGTGCCCCAGTCCTGCATCCTGGCAGTTGAGGGAGCCAGAGGGCTCCCCAGTTACCAGGGCGTGTGTCCCCTGCCTCTCCGGACAGGTTTCAAACTGGCTTTCAACTACCTGAAAGACAAGAAATTTGTAGATGCCATCGAAGTCTGTCACAGTGTAAGTCTCCAGCCCGAGTGGGACATGCAGTGGCTGGGCCCCCTGCCTGGTTCCACGTATCTGATCTGTCTGTGTACCAGGTCCTGATGGAGCACCCCAACTATCCCAAGATCAGAGAAGAAATTCTGGAGAAAGCCCAAGGGTCCTTGAGGCCCTAGCTGTTGCTGGAAAGGGCTCGAGTCATTGGAAGCCATTAGTCTGTAGGTAGACTCTTCATGGGGAGAGGCGGAAGTGGATTGGAGGAGAAAGAATTGGGAAAATGACTTATTCTCTCCATTTCTGTGCTGTCTGTGGTTTATTTGGATTCATGGCTCATCTGGCCTGAGGATGTTTAGAAGCTTTGTGTTTTTTGGTTTTTCAAGACAGGGTTTCTCTGTGTAACAGCCCTGGCTGCCCTGGCACTCGCTCTGTACACCAGGCTGGCCTTGAACTCACAGAGATCAGCCTGCCTCTGCCTCCCCAGCGCTGGGATTAAAGGCGTGTGCCACCACTGCCCTGCGAAGCTTCATGTTTTTAAGGCTAAGAAGCAGATTTCCCTGGGGAAGGAAGACAGCCAACCTGTGCCAGGGCTTGCTGGGCCCTTCATCATCGACCCTACTTTTGTTCCAGGCTCTTGAACAAACAAAGAGCTCTCCCAGTGGAGTGACAGCTAGGAAAAAGCACCCGATAGCTATTTCAAAGTGTCCTCTACCCCAGTCTTGTCCCCAGTATCTCAGACCCAGAGAAGCAACTGCCTCTCCCTACCACCGTGCCCATTGAGTCTGACCTGGCAGTGGTGGGCTCAGACCGGAAGGTGGGCTCAGACAGAAGGGCCCCAGGCGGAGGCGCTGTGCAAGAGGGTTGACAGATCTTCAAGGCCCATTATTGCCCTCTCTGAGGACATTCTGTCCACCCGCCTCCCCTCAAGCTCCACCTCCCCCTACCCTCCAAGCTGGAACTCACCGGGTTGGATGGGACAAGCCACTTTATCACCAAGCCACACCCTGCCCCTGCAATCAATCACCACACTTTGGGTTTTGTAAAGGATACTGGCCCACAAGCTCACCTTCCAGGATCCCCTTTAATGCCTAAAAGGGCAGAAGCAGGGCGTTGCAGTGGTCCCTATACAAGCAGCTGATGCTCATTTTACCTGGCGAGAGAACTCACCTTGGCTGGGTTCCCAATACAACCCTCCGTGTCTCAGGATGGAATTCTGGGTCAATCCAGCCTCAGGGGTCTGCTCTTAGATCTGGGCAGGGGATGGTTGGTGGGTGGAGTGCTTGTGCAGTGTGACACACACACACACACACACACACACACACACACACACACACACACTTCATTTTAATGCAAAATGCATCACATAAAGCCAGCATGATGATGCTAGAACCCCAGCACTTTGAAGGCGTTGGCAGGAAAATCAGAAGGCCAAGGTCATCCTAACTGACCTTGTCTTGAGCTGCAGAAGTCCCCCGCCTCAAAAAAGAAGACTCCATTTCCCAACTCTTGTGTCATACTTCGCCTATAATATCTAGAAGATATTTCATTTATGGTAGTAGGATTGAAGTGAGGGTCTCACGTTCCCTGGGTACACACGGCACCCCTAACTCTGCCTTTTACCCGTAGCTTGGACGGTGACATGCTTGGGCTTGTTGACATAACAGCTAGCATAGCACATTTAGGAATTCCTGGGTCTCAGCTGGTGGCAGAAGCCTTTGTTCCCTGCAGCACTTGGGAGGCAGAGGCAGGTGATTCTCTGAATTCAAGGCCAGCCTGATGGACAGAGTGAGTTCCAGGACAGCCAGGGTTACACTGAGAAACTGGTTTTTTTTTGGGGGGGGGAGTGGGGAGGTAAAGAAAAAAAGATGGGGTCTCACTTTAAACATATTGCTGTATTCTATTTAAAGAAAACCACAGGCAGGCATAGTATAATCCTAGACACCTGCAAGTGCAGCTTGGCTCACATGAGACCTTGTCTCAAAGGGTGTGTGAAACAGAGAGAGAGACTTGTCTCAAAGCGGGGGCATGTTGTGAGTGTTGGAACAACTTCCTATAATCCCAGCACTTGGCAGGTAGAGGCAGGAAGACAGAAGTTCAAGGCCACCTTCAAGCTACCTGACAAGAGAGTTCTAGAACCTCAGTTACCTAAATGGCTGCTAAGTCTTGTTTTCCATCTTCCTTCCAGTGCTGGAGCTAGAACCCAGGGCCTTGAGGGTGTTCGGCTTGAATTCCATTGTGTACTCCAGCCCTGTCCTTTCTGTAACACTGCTGGTCACATGCATGGATCTAGAACACCATCCCTCTCTCTCCTATAGGGGTACTAAGTTCCTTTTTCAAAGATGTTTTCACAACAATTTTGTTGGGACAGGTTTGTTAGGAAGTAAGTAGGTCTGTGTTATGGGAGAGCACTGTTAAGAGATGGGTGTTAACCACATTCTATCTCCTTTTATCTCAATGAAACTCCCCAAAACTGACCCTGTGGCCCTAGATGGGAGATAAAAAGGCATGTCTGAAGAAACCTGTAGGGCCTCTGGGGCTGTCATTAGGCACCCTGGATTATTAGAAGACCCCCAGGGCCCTCGGAAGAGATAGATGTGACCTGCTAGAGTGATCTCTGCACAAGGGTCTCCAGGTCCTGGTGAGAGGGGCGAGGAGGCAGGACAACAGAATGTACCAGTGCATTCTACGTGGAGAAGTCAACCAAGCTAAGCCAGTCACAGGTAACCATGGTCCCTCTACAGTGACCCAAGCCCCCAGTCCTCTGGTGGTCATTGATGTTGCCATGAGGTCATGTCCATAAATGAAAGAAAGCTACCTAAAAAAAAGGTGACACCAGGGTCAAAGAGCAAAGGTCAGAGACAAACATGAAAGCAGCATGGGCATCAGAATGTGTTGACAGGCTTACACACACAGGACCTGGGCATTGGAGGTGTTGCCCATGTATGAATCAAGGGGGTCAGAGAAGAGTAGTCATTTGTACAGGACTGGTGAAACCTGGGCACCAGGCAGGTCATCTGCACATCCCAGTCACCAGATAATGAGAACTGGTATGGAAGTCACCCCCACCCCACCCCACCCCACCCCAGGTAGAGCACAGAGAGGAGCTACAGCACAGGCAGAGGCGCCCGCCTGTGGTCGCTCCCCCAGGGCCTGTGCAAGTCACTGTCATTCAGGCTCCTGACTGGGGCTCCCCAGAGCTGGTCTGCAACACTGGCCTAAGGCCTATTCCGGCTGCCTTGCTTGGGACAGGTCTGACAGGTCTGGCTGGTAGACACTTCCGGAGCTCAAGTCCCCAGGGACTGCAGCTGCCGAGCCGTCACCAGGCCAGGCCTCCACCAGCGCATCTTACTGCCCTGACCTTTCTGAACCCAGAAATGACGACAGACCAGTGTGCTCACATGCAAAGGAGGGCGCCTTGGCCCAGCCCAAGCCCACAGCTCTGCCTGACAACGCCTGCCCCCACCACGTCCCAGATGGCATTGTCAAGGAATGGGTTAATCCAGAGGGAAAACTGTTCCATCCGCCCAGCCAACCTCTCAGCTGGCTTTCTGCCTACAGGCTGACTGGCCCGCCTGGAAGAAAGCCCAATGTGCTGTCCCTGCCTCTCAGCACAGCCTCCATCCACCCCACTGCTTCCTGGGGGTGCACCGCGCTCCCCCACCCCACCAAGGAGACCACACTTAAAAATAGAGCGTCTTTATTGGTACCTGTCAGCTCAGGTACAATGTGTTCCCACAAGCACACAGGCTGGCAAGGCCTCCCGGGCAAGGAGGCAGGCCCAGAGCCTGTTTCTTGGCACACACACACACACACACACAAAGAAATGAATAAATTATAGTTCTGACACTTAGAGACAATATAAAAATGCATACAAAATCCAACGTCAGCTAATGAAGGGTATAAAAGCCCTCAAGAGCCACCCCTTGCCAACTGGCCTAGGGGCACACGGTGGGCTCAGATGGAGTTCAGCGCCCACAAAGCCCTGAGACAGTGATCTGGGGTGCGCTTCCTATCCTGAGGCAGGCCCACTGCCCTTCTTGGGGACTCTGGCTTCCCATCCTAAGGAGGGGCTCTATAACCCTCCTTAGGGGAAAGGGAAGCGGGCACAGATGACAAGTAGAGTGACCAGGCAGGGGCAAAAGGGGTTTTTGGTCAAGGCTGGTGAGCCAGGCAGCTGACTGATCACAAGCTCAAACCCACAGGGTCCACACCAAAGCCCAGACAGGCAGGGTATACTGAAGAGACTGTGCCCCAACACTGCCCACCTGCCAGAGAGGCTCAACCACTGATGCCGCAGTCCCCAAATAAATTACAGAAATAAATTACATCTTCACAGTCCAGAAGATCTAGCCCCCATGGCTCCCAGGAAGCCAGAAACCCCTGTTTTCAGCCCTATCGATGTCTTTGGACCAAGGAGGTTGTTTTTGTTTTTGTTTTTGTTTTTTCAATGGAAAGAGGATCTGTGAGACTCCAGGAGAGTTCTTCCTCTCTTCCTCCTTCCGGCACACACGGGGAGGTGGAAGACCTCTTGTTTGTATATAGAGACCAGGCATGGAAAGAGGGATACCCCTCCCCGAGGGATACCCCTCCCCACCCTCTCTTTAGTACAGAATAAAAAATTAAAAAAAAAATAATAAAAAAATAAATAAATTCAGAGTGTTAATGTAAAAATAAGAGGGTGCACTTAGCACCCATGGCCAGGACCAGCCCATGGGAGACCGTTACATACATAGACCTCGGGGGAAAACCCCAAATCACATAAAAAGCAGCAACGGGGCTCTGGGGGCAGGGAAATGGCACTCAGTCCTTACACTGGCATGGGCTCCATCAAAGGTGCCAAGGCAGCGTCCTCAAACTGGCTCTCCAGAAGGGGTGCCAGGACATCGGTAACTGGCTCTGACAGGCCCACGAGAGACTCCAGGAAGCAAGCGCTGGTATCCCTTGGTGGAGAGAAGCTGGGCAAAGGGTGGAGGGCCTCATGGCTGTCCAGGCTGCCAGACACCCTGCAGGAAGTATAGTGAGGACCCAGACTGTAATCCGGCAGAGCCTGGAGGAACTCAAAGGAGTCACAGGAGGATAAGCTGAGGTCCACAGAGCCACTCTGCACGGCCTCTGCCCCAGGGGACCCGGAACTGCCAGGGAGGCTACCTCCTCTCAGCCCTTCGAGTCGGCCATTTAAGAAGCAGCTGGCGTCCAGGTTGGCATTCTCATCGAGGATGCCCGATGAGAGGCTAGAGCAAGATTGGCCTTGAGTCCAGCTGGTCAGGCTGCTGGGATCACCGGTACCAAAGATGTCAGCCAGATGGAAACAGCTGAGGTTATCCAAGTTGCCCACACCCCTTTCCTCCTCCTCTTCCTCCTCCACACCGAGGTCAGAGTCGCTGAAATTCAGGATCTGTGCCAGGCTGTCTTCATCCACGCCAGACTGGAAGCTGGGTGCTGGCGGGCTGGGGTGGGTAAGGCGGTCTGGAGGCTCACTGTTGCCGGAGGACGAGGAGGTGGAGGAGTCTGTCATATCACTGCTGCAGCTATTGTCACTCAGCTCACTGCTCACAGGGGGGGTGGCCAGCGGAAAAGGTGAAACCAGGGTTTGTTCGATGGGACCGTCCTGGACAGGAGACTCCAGGCCCCCCAGGCTCTCGGTGCCCTGCTCCATCTGCAGGCGGGTGAGGGTGTGGATGAAGTGTGTCTGAACTCTTGCCTGGTTGAATTCCACACGGCCATTGGGGTTCTCACAGCCCGAGCTGCAGCAGCCACAAGGGAATGACGTGTGATCCATCTGCAGAGAGAAACCACGCGCAGGTCAAGACTTTGTGGGTGCAAGAAGCCTGCAGGCTCAGCTCCCCATCCCACCAGATCCAGCAGGCTTTGCGTTTTGTTCTGTTTGCTTTCGAGACAAGGTTTCTCTATGTGGCCCTGGCTGTCCAGGAACTCACTCTGTAGATCAGGCTGGCCTAGATCCCAGTGATCAGCCTGCCTCTGCCTCTGTCTCCCCAGTGCTGGGATTGAAGGCATGCATCCACCAGTGCCAGGCTTGTTTTCCTGAGACAGAGTCTCACTATGAAGCCTTGGCTGGCCTTGATTTTATAGAGAGCGGCCTGCCTCTGCCTCCCAGAGTGCTGGGATTAAAAGCGTGTGCCACCACACCTGGAAGATTTTTGTTTTTCCTTCTTTTCGATGGTTTTGTTTTGGTAGTGGGGCCAGGGATTTAACCCAGGGACCTTGATCGTAAAAGGCACAGCCCCTCTCCTCCCCGGTCCAGCCACACACCTGGCACTTGATACCAGCCAGGCTGCAACTGCAGGTCACGGGGTCACAGACTCCATCACAATGACAGCCACAGTCCTCCCGAGACTGGCGCAGCGCCTGCAGCTCTCGCTTCTCCTCCCGGTCGATCCTCCGGACACCCGAAGCACGAAGCAGGGCCCGACGCTGCCGAGGCGGATGGGGCTGCAGGAAATTCCCATCCTCCAAGCGGCCACCCGCTATAGCCACTGCCAAGTCGTCCTCTACGGAGGCATCATCGATGGTGTCCACCGTGAGGGGCAAGCCTGTCCCTGTCTCTGGAACTCCAGCCTCGGAAAGCTGCATTACAGGAAGGGTGTGAGATAGAGATATGCCACAGACCTCTTACCCATGCCATCCTAGGTCAGACATATCAGTCCCCAGCCCTAGTAAGTCTCAAGCATTATACCCCAGGCCTAACCCTTGTCTGAAACTGCCTACTTTTCTTTAGAGACAGGGTCTTGGCCTCAGATTTGCTATGTGGCTGAAGGTGACTTTGAACTTCTGATTCCTCTGCTCCCACTCCCAAATTCTGGGATGACAGGTGTGCACCAAGATCCTGGTTTACAGCCGGGCAGTGGTAGCGCAGGTGTTTAATCCCAGCACTCGGGAGGCAGAGGCAGGTGGACCAGCCTGGTCTACAAGAGCTAGTTCCAGGACAACCTCCAAAGCCACAGAGAAACCCTGTCTCGAAAAACTGCCCCCCCCCCAAGATCCTGGTTTATACAGTGCCAGTAACAGATGCCAGGACTGCCTATACAACAGGCCAGCATCCAGTCTGCCTGAGCTATAGCCTCAGCCCTTGAACCCTCTCTGTATCCGTCCCAACCGCAACCACAGACCGGCTTCTCCACACACAAAATGTGCAAACTGACTTCCTGGGCCTCCATACCTTCCACCTCAGCATCTCCAGTTTCTCCTCCTTCAGGCGCTGACAGAGCTTCTCCCGCCGAGCCCGGATCTGCTCCTGTGTAAACTCAGCTAAGGAGAAAAGCCGGCAGCTGCTGTGGCAGGGAGCCATGCCCAGGGTGCAGCCACCACGGCTGGGCACACTGGTGAAACCCTGGCACCTTGGGAAATAGTAGACAGTGACGCTGTCAAAGGTCACGTGACCTGGACGCTCCCTTGGAGCCCGCTTCAGGATGGACGGGGCTGAAATGACAGGAAAGGGCGGAGAGTGAGTTCTCTTCAGTGTGGCATAATTTCAAGGACAATGCTTGCCATCCATTCCTACCTACCCACCGGCCTGGCTAGATCTGGAGAGACCGATTGCCACACCCAAGTCAATGCTGGCTTATTGTTGTTTATCAGTCCAAAGGACGGCATTCGAAGGCTAAGCACCTCGCCATCGTTACCAAGTATTTACAGATCCTTTGTACAGTTTTCTGTAATTTCTGTTCCTTTGCTAAGTGTCCTTCACACGTAACAGAGACAGTAATTCTCTGTTTAAATGTATCAAGGCACCGGAGAAAGGACTCAGCTGTTAAGAGCATTGGCACCAGCATGGTTGCTCACAACCAAACCTAACTCCAGTTCCAGGGGGTCCACCACCATCTTCTGGTCTCCTCAGGCACAGCACACACATGGTACACAGGCAAAATAATCATACACATTGATGGTTTTTTTTCCCTCCATTTTTGTATTTAAATTAGAAACAAGATTGTTTTACATGGCACATTAGATTTTTTTTTACTTTACAGTTTAAGTGTTCTGCAACAGACTTAGAAAGTCCCCTTATAAATGATTGATTATACACTGAGAACAAGTTGTAAGAGTTGGTTCTCCCACCATGTGTGCTCTAGGGACTGAACTTAAGTCACCAGGCTTATCATTAATAAGTGCCTGTGTGAGTGTGTGCCCTGCGTGCAGGCACCCTTGAAGTTCAGAAGGTGTCAGATCCTTAGTGCAAGGGTTACAGGTGGTTGTGAGCCATGTGGTATGAGTGTTAAAGACCCTACTCGGGTCCACTGGAAAAGCAACAGATGCTCTTAACTATCTTAACTCTCTGGGCTATCTTCCCAGCCCCTGTTTTCACTACACAACACTGACTGGCCTAGAACCTGATATGTAGACCAGGTTGACTTTGGACTCAGAGATCCATGAAGCTTTGCCTCTCAAGTACTGGAATTAAAGCTATCTACCACCATGTCTGATTTAAAAAACAAGATGGAGCCAGGCGTTGGTGGCGCACGCCTTTAATCCCAGCACTCGGGAGGCAGAGGCAGGCGGATCTCTTTGAGTTCGAGACCAGCCTGTCTCCACAGCGAGTGCCGGGATAGGCTCCAAAGTTCCAAAGCTCCATAGAGAAACCCTGTCTTGAAAAACCAAAACCAAAACCAAAACAAAAAAAGATGGGCTTCAGGTACCCCAAGCTGCCCTGTGACTAGTTCTATAGCAGGAAATCTTGAGTCCCTAAACTTCATGCCTCTGCCTCCCCAATGCTGGGATTACAGGTGTTTGCCACTACGCCCAGTGACTTCAAGTTAATATATTAATTATACATTCAATTACCTGAGGAAGATTCTAAATTCTAAAAGGTTTCCTGTTTGTAATGTTAGAGTCTAGGCACTAAAAATCTTAGCTAGGTGGTGGTGGCTTTAATCCCAGAAGCTGGGAGGTGGATCTCAAAAATTAGAAGAAATATTTTTCAAAAGGGTCCCTTTTCAGTTTGGAATCAAACTGATTCAAGTTTGTGAGAGAACCAAGAACTTGGCCACAGTGGGACACATCCGTAACCCCTGTATAGGGAGACAGATGCCATATAGTTGAAGGACAGCCCGGACTATGTGAGACTCTGCCCTCAAGATTAAAAAAAAAAAAAAGGAAGAGAAGAAAACTGATCAGGAAAAACCCTTTGGGGACATTCAGGAAAAAGCTAAAAAGCAGTGAAACAAGAGGGGGGTGACTCAGCAGGCCCTGTGCACGGCATGTACAAGGTGTGGGGGCCAACTCCAGGAGGGCAGGGTGCACTAGTGACCCAGAAATGCAACAGAATGAGCAGCCCCTTTGGAAAGGCCTCAGAACCCCAGGGGAGCAATTGCTGACAGCATGACTCCCAAGGTCAAAGGTAAGTCAAGACAGGCCCAGGTGTCCCTGGGTAGTGGGCAGTAAAGAGCTTCATAGGAAGACACCCCAAGATTGACTATTCCCAAGGCTGCAAAGCAAAGGCCAATTTCACCTTTAGAGAAGGGGTATGTGGGGGTCTCCAGGACAGAAGACTTACGAGTGAAACTTTGGAGGCTGCAGAAGTCCTGGTCAGGCTGGGGTGCCTGACTAACTGGTCCCTCCTCATCCGAGTTCCAGGCAGGGAAGACAGAAGACCCGGGGGAGGAGGAGAGAGAGAGACTGCCAGAGGATGAGGATGAGGATGAGGATGAGCTGAAGAAGCCCTCCTCCAGCTGGTCAAACTTCCTCTTCAGCAGCCCAGCCATGGTAGGACGGAAGGGGGCTCTAGGAGCTGAGGACAGATGGCCTGGAATGAGAGTAAGAGACACGCTAAGCGGCAGGCTGCTGGCCTAACCATGTTTTCCCCATCCTGGCTCACCTTCCATGGTATCCCCCAAACTCCATCTGGGCCCTCCAGCCCTGCCAGAAGGATCTCCAGGAGGGCACCCACCCCTCCATCCCAGAGCCTTTACCTTCCCAAGACATGGCCTCTGATAACAAGCCTTCTCAGGAAAACAGCCAGGTACCTTCCCCACTGCCTCTGCCACCTACACAAACACACACACACACACCAGCAGGGCCAGAAGGCAGATAGACCGACAGATGGACTGACAGAACTCAGCCTGCCCTGGCTCATCCTCCAGGAATCCTGGGGCTGACTCACAGGTCTGTCTTTGTGCGCTTGCACGTGCAGGGCCTTCTGCAGCTGCAGTCTGCACAGTCTGCCTCCTCGAGCAGCACTCCTCCACCACACAGGCCTGCCACCTTGCCCACTGACAGCCTTGGGTCCCCACTCCTGGGCCCGGCTGACCAGGCCCTCTGGGAGCAGGCACTGGTTTTGACATTGGCCCCATTCTTGGCAGGACTTCCCCAAGCCCCTCCCCTCCCTGGGATGGAGCTTCTCAGAGTTTCCCTCAGAAATCCCCATGCCACAGGAGAAAAGTCCCCTGCTCTAGGCCGGACTGCAGGCAAGGCATTTGACTTTGATCTTAAAATTCACCTTCTACTTAAAATTCGCTTTCAACTCCAATATAGTTAATTTTCCTTAAAACAAAGCCAAACCTCTAATAGCGAGACTGACCCGGGAAGCTGCTATTCCAAGCCTCCCCCTTACCTGTTTGAGGCTTTTCTAGACCTCTGGTAGGGTGCATTCGCTCACCAGCCAGGCTAGAGATAAAAACTCCTTCCCTAACCCAGCGCTTGGACCAGGATTCAAGGATGTTGGCTGAGTGCAGCTACCTGCTGCGTGACTGACTGGCTTGAGCCCTGTGGAACTCACTCCTTCAGGGCTGAATGCCTACAGCTGGAGACCCCTCCCCCAGCACCATCACAGGAAGTGAAAGGGGGCAGGGACAAAGCTACCTGGGTCTCCTCCACCAAGGTGTCCTCCCTATGGCCCCTTCTCCCATCCCAAGCCTTGCGGCGAGTTCCTGCGTCTGAGGGCACCAGCTGTCAGCCCACTAGGGGATGACAGCCTTCTCCAGGCAGGAATGGGAGAACCAGGCCAAGCCCCCACCCTGGGGCTGGGGGAAAGAGGATGACAGGTGTTTCCGGGGCCGTTTCTCAGGCTTCATTACCCCCCTTCCCAGAGTCAAACCACAAACACAAACAACCCAGTTGACCTGTAGGCTCTCCCAGGAGATGTTTGGTCATGAGCCAGGCACCCTGACCACAGACACACTTGTACACAATAGTTGA